AACCAAAAAACGCTCCGGAAAATATCAGTTTCGATACAATTTGAACAATTTCTAAAACGTACACAACGGATCCAGTTAGGTATGAGCCGGGAACAAATATTTGCTAGTGGTGAACCAGTGACGCGGCGCGGCCGCTGGCAAATCATTCGTGTTTATACCTGTTATACACGCAGTTTTACTCCATTCAATTTGTTTTCATCGTATTCCAAATTGTTGTGGACAAAAGTCATAGGTGTCGCAATTACAGGTGTATCAGAAGATCCTCTAATTGGTAAAGCTTTTTTATAGATTAGAACTTGGATCTAGCGAAGACATCCATAATTGGGTACTTACCAACTAGTCAAATACAAATTTTTTTTCGAACTGTCAGAAACGACAGTTTTCTATGAATTTTGTACGAGATTGTGTATTGTGAAGTCACGTTTATATATTAGCGTCAAACAGCATACTAATTTCTTTAAAAAAAATCTGGAAATGTACTAAAATTAAGTTGATCATAAAAGCAGCATGCTTTTTGCAGATGATAGTACTGTATCTGTACAGTGTAAGACAAAAGAATTATATCAAGACGACATAAACAATTGCTTGGAATCAATTATTAACTGGCTAGATAATAACAATCTTAAAGTAAACTTATTAAAAACTCAAGTTATGCACTTTAGCCAGAGACCTCAGCCTCATGATATTCATATAGATTACGATAGTAACCCTATACACGAGGTAGAATCAGCGCAATTCCTAGGCCTAACTATCGATAGGCAGTTGAATTGGAAGGCGCATATAGCAAAATTATGCAAAAAGGTGAGCAGTTCTGCATATGCTATGTACAGATTGGCCCCAGTAGTGAACATCGATGCTTCACTCACGGCCTACTACGGCCTTGTTGACTCTGTCTTACGGTATGGAATAATCTTCTGGGGAAACTCAACAGATAATGCGCTGGTTTTTAAGGCCCAAAAACGTTGCATACGAGCCATGTTTCACCTGGACTCGACTGACTCTTGTAAACCGTCCTTTATAGCACATAAAATTTTAACACTTCCGTCATTATACATATTAGAGACAGCACTGTTTGTTCATAAAAACCCTCATCTATTTGAACAAATTTCTGATGTGGTAAAAAGAAACAGGCGCAAAATTAATAGTAATAGACTGTGTCTGCATAGTGCAAAAACTACTCTGGCACGAAAAAGCGTATTATGTATGGCGCCAAAAATATATAATAAAATTCCTAATGATATTAGAAATTGTAATGTAAGATTATTTAAAAATAAATTGAAAATAATTCTGGCCAAGAAATGTTATTATACTATTCATGAATTTTTAAATGAAAATAATTTTAATATGTAATTGTATCTCATATTATTCTTTAAATTAAATTAAATGTATACCTAATTGACTTGACGTTCACTTTGATTAACTGACATTTTCATGAAATTTTTATTTATCTAATACTAATTTGATTATATTGTAAAATGACTCATTCGTATTAATGTATTTCATTTAATAATACTTTTGCGCGCTGTGTTCCACGGCAAAACATGCTGTACATAAACATTTTATTCAACATCTTGTTACCTACCATGTTTTGTGCAAATAAATGATTTGATTTGATTTGATTTGATTTGATTTGAAAAATCAATTAATTAAAGTGTGATTATTTTTTAATATTTTAGTGTGTTGAACAGTCGAAAATTTTATTTTTATTAAGTGAGTGCCCAATTAGTGTTCCATTAATACTAAATTAAACAAACTTAACCTAATGTTGTTAATGTTATAATCACAACTATGAAACTTAGAGAAAATATGTATACAGCTATCGATCTAGCGACTATTAAAAGTATAAAAGTAGGTTACCTAAAAGAAAAAAGTTCCAGGTGTCACCAACAAGTCAGTAAAACAAAAACTATCAATATCGAGCGATTCGTTTCAAGTGGAGCGCTCTTGAAGCAGTTAGTATAAAACAATGCCTTTTTTATTTCGTTCCCAAAGTGGTTTCGCATCAAGTACAGTTGTTTAATTGACTTTAACATGTAAAGTGTGCTCGCTACTCGGCAACACGTGTTAGAGATTGTATTACATCGCAATTATATCTGAATCGCTCGTTCAATAATAAACGATAAATTGTAATTGATCGTTTTGGTAATTTGAAGGGGATTTTGTACTAGGTCGATTTGATTTTGAGCACTGTGCAGTGTTTTGGGTTAACAATTGCGTTTACATTGTTTACGTCTAGAATAAACGTAATAAATTCAATTATTTACGTCGAAGCAAAAGAGGTATAATTAAACGAAGTACACACAGTCGTAAATAAAAGCTGCTAAAATTAAACAGAAACAGCTAATATATCTAAACAAAAGAAATACTTCAGAACACTAAACTTTATCTATTCTTACATCCCTAATGAAAATTACCCCAATTGTTCTCATTTGTAGCAACAATAATAAAAACTGGACCTTATCAGCCCCACGCTAAGTAATCCAGATGGTCACATCGAGGACATTTAGTGACTGCTTCAGAACAAAACAAGCAAATCTATCTTGACCCCAGCTCTCCCCAGACGCTACTATAACGTATTAGGTGAGCGATACACTTGTCCTCATAAAGGGGTCAAAGTTAATTGGTTATGATACGTCCCCATTTGGGCGTGGATGTTTAAGTATTTGGGATTAATGTAGCGATTTATTTAGATTAATGTCTTATTATTTAGGGCTTGGAAAAAATATAAATTTTTGGGCCGATTGGTGCTTGAGTAAATTAAAGATGGCAGACAGCAAGCTCCAAACCTCTTACGTTACTAAGGAGCCCTGTAACAAGTCATTATGTATATTTTCACGTGGCGAAGTATAAAGAAATGTATCCAAGAGAACATTTATTCGCGGAAGCGTGGCGAATTAGGCGGATCGCGCCTTGTCCAGCCGCAGACAGCTTGTTCTTGAGGACAGGCCCTGAGACAGAAGCGAAAGCGGTTTATTATTTTTATTTTTTGTACGAAAGAAATCTTCTTGGTAGATCAACTTTTCGGTTATTCTTTCGAGGTGGTTAATGTCAAAGTGTCAACAATAGGTTCTGAAAATAGACATTTTTATGACAGCATATTTAGGAATTTCATTTAGAATTACAACGGATAGGTAAATAGCTGAGAAAATGGTCAGGTTAATGACAACTTTTAAATTATTGGGCTGCTCGGGACTTCCATTATTGGGCAATAATGTCATGAATTAGTTTATTATTAAAATACTTTTATTAATCCACAACAACCTCTGCCCGCTCGTGGTGCGGCCGGCGTGGTTGAGTGACAGTATCGATCTCACATAATCGCGCGCCGGCAATCGGCCCCCCACCTACGACCGTCGTGTTTCACCCCGATAACTCCAATTCCGCTTTATCTCCCCGACTGCCGACTTTCTTCACTCCCCTTTGTGCTTATTTTCTCCAATTTTTTCCACCGCCCCCACTCTTTATTTCGTTCCTTTTCTTATTTTCTTACTACTATTATTTTCTCTTATGTATTTTTCGTGTTTCATCCCGCCCTTGGAAGGCCTTTCTCTCCGATAGAGGAAGTTTTTTCTTCGATCATTTTGTAGGTCGTTATTGGTGGAATTGTGGTTAAGTACCGCCGTCTACGGAATTGATTTTTTTAATGAATACCTACCCTCGCTTTATGTTCCCCGGGAATCGGTAATAAATAATGAAAATGCTGATTGTTAGGATGGAAATAATATTCGTAGATAACAAAGGAATGATTACAATCCATTTAGAAGTGATTTGGAGGTTAATTAAAAAGTTTGTAACTTTGTAGTTTTCTTTAGAGGTGTTTTTATCTCTGTAGCAAGATTTGTCCCTTAATTTCGATTAAACTCTCGATGACAATAAGCGTGAAAATAAAACAAATCGTTCGTTTGTAAACACAAGCTCATTAGAGGTCTCGTTGTCCTAAGGGCGCGCGCACACTGGCGACGGCGACGCGCGATCAATCAAAATTGTCAACCGATTGGAAAGCTCGCCACGTTTCGCTGAGCGAATGTCGCGCATCAATCATGTTTCAAGTGTAACGTTTACACCGAGTGTGTTAAAATTTTGTCGTTTTTTGTAGTACCTTTGTGCCTGGTTGAATTTAGTTTGGATACAAATAAATGCTGTAGTGAATGTTACGTGTTATTTCAAACTTTCAAGTCCCGATCTCTCATTTATTCAACATTGATTGTTCAATTTTATTATTATGATTATTGTACGGAATTATAACATCCACAAAGTTCTGTGGACACACGTAATGTATTATTTTTTTTATCGTGGGCGTATTTTTCCTGTCACTACTAACTTCCATTACTTATATTGGGTACACGCCCGCACAACATCGGTGTATCATCAGAAAATGTGACAGATTGCGTAACAGTACGTCTATTGAACGGAATCAGTAACCCGTGCGCACATTACCGATCCGAGAATCGAACCCCAGACTCAAGTGCTCCGACCATAAAGCAAATTAATCAATTAGCTGGAGGCATGTCGACAACATTACGAGTAACGTTTAATTTCGCTATCACCCTTACTTTGAGGGTAGTAAACAACCAGGGTGAATTGGTCCCTGTTGTCGGGCAAATTGTTAGTAATGAAGGGTCATGATGACTGGTTTTTATGTAATTTTTCTGAGGGGGTAATTTTGTGCAATACTGCTGACGCATTTGCTTGATAGTCGTCGAGTGCGACGTTTTGTTCGAGTGCTTTGTTGATAGTTTATGATGAAGAGCAACTTCTCTTTGTATGTTCCACGTTTTGTTGATGACTCTTGCTTTAGGACTTCAGAGGCCATTCTAATAATCCCTGATGACATAGAAATCGATATGTCTCATTCAAATAAACCTCCCATTTGTTTTTTGACTGATAATCTTGACAAGAACAATGTCAGTCAAGTGCTTGAAGTTACAGCATATCTTCTTCATATACTTCTTTATCTTTAATTAAATTATCAAATGTATTAACCGCAATATCTTCTCCAGCAGATCCATTACAATCGGAGGCTGGGTCAGACGGCAATAGCGAGCATGCATCATCGGGAGACGAGGACTCGCAGATGAGGTTACGACTGAAGAGGAAGCTGCAGAGAAACCGGACCTCCTTCACCAATGATCAGATAGATAGCCTTGAGAAAGGTAAGATGAGACCTATAGGGTGTAACTGAAATGCTTCTTCACCGGCTATTTCATACAAAGTTCGTTTCATAGTAAATTAATCATCAATGACAATTGCCTAAAGTCCTAAACTAACGACCCATGGTCTTGTTTTTGGCCAAGTTTCATTTAAATCAGTCAATTTATTTCCTTCTTGAAGAGAAACATCCATAACGACAACATCACCATTATTATTATTCTGGCTATTTCATAAACACTTTGACTATTCCTTAAAGTCCTATTTAGAACTTCAATTATGTTTTTCTTTGTTACCCAATATTTTTTCTCCATCTCCAGTCAAAAATTGACTCTCATTCTTCGTCAGAATGTTAGCAAACATCCCTTCACCAGTCAATACGTCCCAGGAGTCTTCATAAACCTATTTCCCAATGTCCTTTTCATCTTATTTATTGTTTGCAATAACACGGTTATTAGTAAGTAAATAAATATGGTCCCCCGATGTTTGTTCTGCTCTCGGACGGTGGCAGTGGGCCCAATTATTGATGTCACCCTGTGTTAATCTTACTTATTCATTGTTTGTTTGTTTGTTTGTTTCATATCGTATTGGTTTATTGCCTTAGTGATTGAGAGGTATTTGTTGGTAGTTGTGCTTTGATTTTTTGAAGTTTGATGTTTTTTGCGTTGTTGGAATAAGAGCTTCTAATTAGTGTGCTGGTCCTGAAGTGTTTATCTGTCTTTTGAATTTTTATTACCATTATTATCTTCTTTACCATCATAAATCTTTAAGTCATCTCTAAGTTAATATTATAGGATATTATAAAGAAAAATCCTATTCATTTTCCATCTTCATTCTTCTAACAAGTTTTATTTTTCCAACAGAATTCGAACGGACGCACTACCCGGATGTGTTCGCGCGGGAAAGACTGGCTGAAAAGATTGGATTGCCTGAGGCACGTATCCAGGTAAAATAAAATCCAGTTTACACCGCGGTAAGGTGGCTGTATCGATACGTCATCGTTAACCAGTAACTTTGAATTATTCACTAACCTTTCGTTCTGTAGCAGAAAAACGCGGTGTTTCTGTACATTACGTCGTTAAAGGATACTTTAATAGATGTTACGATTTCACTTAAAAGCTACTGTAAAATATATCCGGGCATTATGCTTTTCACAAAATTCCGAAGTTCTAGTTGTAGTCGGCAGATGTCTCTCAGTGACTTAGCACTATTATAACAAAACAGAAACATAAAAAACATTTCCGAAAGACGTCGAAAATGAAAAAAAGTTACGCTCTCTAATATTCTACTTTTGACACAGTGTGTAGCAAAAAAAGATACAATAAAATAATTTCATCAAAATGCTCAAAACGGATTTGAATGAAATCTCGCTAAAATCGGACAAGGGCTTTATTGGGGATGCGTTCATAAGGGCCTGTTTACACTGTCTGTTTGTGTAGCTACCCAGTATGTAGATGCGTCTTCAGTAAACATACTAAAAAAACAAGGGTGGGTAATATTATAGCGAGAGCATGTACTTATTACATAGCAAAAGTAAATATTTTGGGAAAACTACGCCGGTAATGTATTCAACATTGTTTTTATTGTTTGAATTTTTCAACGGTCGATGTTTGTTCTTACCCGAGCTATTTGCTTATCATTAATTTGGAGTAATTAATAAGAGTAATATTACGTTAGTTTAACGTTCGTATGGGTACGTAGATATGTAATATTTTGGTAATGTATTCCATTTCTGAGGAAAGGTAAATATTATTTTTTCGGTTAACCAATTGAGGTGGAAAAAGATGTGAATTAATTATCGTTTTGTTCCTTTCCTGGTTTTAACGTGGAAAGTTGTTAAAAGCCCTTCGTTTAGTAGAAAAAGGTTTGAAAAAGGGGTAATAAATTGTTCAATAGATATTAAAATATCACCCCTAGGAACAATGTAGGGTAAATAACGTTCTATACCACTTAATGCGACGCACTTAGTGTTGCCAACAGTTTAAAAAGTCGTTTATCAAAGTGTACAAACTTGGCGCAAGTTTTATAATGGTCTAATGTGATTTTGACTGCAAACCTTTTAAGTTTGCAACCTCTTTAATGTAATACTGGCAGAATATCGAATTAAAAAATGAATGCTTCTTTTTGTTGAAGCGAATTTAATATTTTTTCATTTGTTTTAATTAAAATTTGTTTTTGCTTTCATAAAATATGTTGTTTGAAGCGAGCAGATAGACATGAAATGAGATTAATATTTAAAATTATGTAGGTACACACCCAGTACAAAAGTATAAACATATTTATCGGTGACTGATTGACTATGTTTTTGCTTACGACGCCGTTTGTTTAAAATTAAGAGCAACAAAAAAAGTACTTCGATTTAAATTATAATAAAAACATAGTGACGAAAACATATACTTATATGAAACTAACTTTAACTTCCCAAAACAACACAAAATACCGTCAAAATAAAAGTAACTAGGTACCACAAAAAAGGAATATTAATTCAAAAGCAGACACAAAAACTAAAACTTGAGTGAAACATGAAAAGTAGGAAAGTTCCAACGCCGGAGTTTTCTTGTTCTCTGTGCGAAAAAAGAAAAAAAAACAAGATGGCGGGCGACCGACATTGTTTTCAGCGGGAGTTCGGAGCCGGGCTAAGCTGTTACATTAACCTCTCGTCTCGGCCTTAGTTAACATTCCGAACTGCTGTCATACATATAGCACGGTCAACAAGTACTTTGCTGGCCTGTATGCGAATATAGAACCTATTAATACCTCATTTGTTAATATGTTTGAGGTTATGTTAACCCGTTACGTTCAAAAAAGGAAAGAAACAGTCAAAAGTATAACTTTGTCATATTTTGCATAACAGTTTTATGTTTTATGAATAGGTAGATCTAAATTTAAATAATATTGAATTTAAATACCATATTTGCAACAAAAACACTCGGTGCTAAATGTAAATAAATCTGTAATTCGTATAAAACATGTTATGAAAATGGACTACGTCTTTAGATACAGCTATGGAGAATAATTGTCATGTCACACAAACATCAAAATAAATACAAAATAGGAGCAATATCAAACGCAAAACACAGCCTCTGGGCTATCAGTGCTTACAAAGCCTCATTGGACTCTAATATAGCGGTATAAAGTCTAATTTCCTTTAAATAGTCCAGGAGCTAGGTTTTCAAGTAGTAGCGTGAACATAATTTTGAATTCTGTGAGACCACGTGTTGCGGGGTTGTAGGCTGTGTCAAATGATTTATGTAGAGTCTATGATAACTTTAAAATACTTAAAATAATAGATTTAAGAGAAAATAATTTAATAGTTTAGGTTTCAGTAAGTAAGTCACTTTTAAGAAATAGCGATTCTTAAAAGTGACTCTTAGACGAGAGAGACATAAGTATTAAACTTAAAATGCAATACAGATTTTAAACATTGATAAAGTTTTTACATAACAACATAATAGGGATGATGACAGAGTATGAAAATTAAAAATCTAATTAGTCCGTAAGTCAGGTACCTAATAAAAAAATATTAGACACGTATTTTTTCACTTTTTCGTATAAGAAAATACTTGGATAAAACGAATCAAAGTTTTAGGAGAGGGAGGCAGCTACGTCATTTTAGAGTATAAATCGTACTCAAAAGTGACGTCATGCGATATTTCAAATCAATATATCTTCGAAACTATTCGTTACCGTAAGAAAATAAAAAATACGTGTCTAATATTTTTAAATAATCTACCAGACGGACATTATAATAAAAATTAGTCATCTACCCTATTGTGGAATGCAACCAATTCCCTCGTTAAATAAAAACTAGCACGTGTGTTCTAGAAATCAGTAACATATAAATTAAATGTTGGACCATAATAAAATATGATGAGAATTATCCTGAATATTTTCCACGTGGCCACTGTTACAATAGGCTGCCGGGTGAGGTATCGATCCCGGGCCTACAGGAAGCGGGGGTGCGTTTCCGGCCGCGGGAGGGGGGCGGTGTTTTGAAAAATTGGCACCCATTGCCGCACACAAACATTTTTACTATTAAACAAGCCAAATTCAATTCTATCTTCTAAGCAATAAGGTGGCAATATGAATACTAGGTCGCAATCTTGAGTAAGTGTAGAGATTATGTGGTGTTAGAAATGTGTTCTGATTTATATTGTTTTTTTTTTTAAGTTTTTAATATTTGATTTAAGACTCTATAGTACGCTATAATGAAAATATTAGCCTTATTTTTGTATAAAATGAGAACTTTAAAAAAACATTTTAGCTAGCTCCCGAACTATGTCGTGTCAAACAACTGTCAGATGGCGTTGTGATAACATTTGTTAAGCTAATTAATTAGCACTTCAAAATCACATTATGTAGCATGGGATAACAGTTTCAGTGACAAATGAAAACAACACATAATCATGACATTTCAATAACAAATCCTGTAATAAGCCCGAGCTCCACAATACATCGCAACAACTACTAATTAACTAACTTTACTAAAAATACCCAACAACGAGCTTCATAATTAAAACAGTAACAACACGAAAACTAATAAATTAAAATACATCATACTGTATTAATAAGAGCGCAATTCACAAGCAAAAACAATTACGGCCCGCAACTCGTTGGTTGTGTAACCAAATTATGGGAAATCCCATTTGGTAAGGAACCCTCGGTAACTTTATTTTCATCCCAACTATGAGGGTAGGAGAACAATTTGTAAAAGGCCACGGGAAATAGCTGAGAGGCGGGAAAAAGGCCTGTCATCGCTGTCATGGCGGAATATCTATAGATGGCGGGAAAAAATGAGGCGCGTCTCTATACTTCAGCGTGACGTAAGGCAAGGGACACACATAAGAGCTTAGTTTATTGGATTGGTGTAAATTTTGAAACCTTACCCTAATATTCTCTTGAAAGACTTCTAAACTTGTAACACCTTATAATTAGTACGCTTTACAACATAATAAATAAACATTTTTATTTACAGTAGCAGTTAATTTTTACTTTTTAATAATTCAGTTAGGTTTGAACATTAAAATTAATTAAATCCAATGTGGCTTTGTAAAAATGAATTCTACGTTGCATTAATAATATCATCATTATATAATTTGCGTGCCGATTACACTCATTATGTGCCGAGTAAAACTGTAATTATGCATGAACATGTTCTGACGATTAATTTGGTAAAATATTTTAGCGTAGTTAATTAAAACGGAGTTGATTAAGGTTTTATTTTTAAATTATTATTTTTACAGTGAAAATACTTATTTAGGAGCTAACTTTTAGCTTTTAGCTTCGTCTATTCTTCAATAAAAATGTTGACAAATTATCTCTGAATCTTCCTCAAAATCACTCTCGGTAAAAACCGCATAAGAATATGTTCAATTAATTTTGAGTTTATCACAGACGTAGTTTGGAACTTGATTTCACTATTGTGAAATCAAGTTTGTAAGTAAAGGTGAATGATATAAAAATAAATAAAGAATAATTTGTAAATCTTGTACAGTGTGTACTGTGTATACTATGCTTTTCTCGGACCCTCGGTTCGCGAGCCCCAATAAAATATTGTCGGCAACATTCTGGCGATTCTGTCGGAGACCGGAGCAATAATATTATGACATATTGCCTCCACAAACTCGAACGACTTTTTTTTTCTTCTAAATAACGTTCTTACTTACATAGATACCAACATTTACTTAGTTTAGGATACAGTAAAATATGTTTTTGTTGATTTAATGGTGCCTTGTTATACTTCATCCTATTTTGCAACGATTTCTAATTTCGATATTATTGTAACATCCTTTAAAAAATATGTCAATCTGTTTTAAGAAAAAAAGAAAAAAACAATTATCAGACTGAAGAGGTTGTAAGTTTCCAAAATATGGTAAAGATGTGATACATCTAGGGCAGTGTAACCACTTTCTGCCCATTCGTAGCAACAAACTAGCGTAGTTATGTGCTGAACAATTACATAGGTGTTACACGATGCACAATAGTGGCAAGTCTGCCCGCCTTCACAAAGCGCGGGAAGGCTTCGGGCGCCATATTGTCGTCGCCATGGCTGCCGGCGGAAGTAGCGCGCACGTGAGGGCTACTTCCGGGGCCACGTTCCGTTTCACGCAGTTCAATGTCACAATATAGTGTCCACGCTCCGTTTGTTTTAATTGTTTAGATGTTCAGTTACATTTGAATTTTTGTTTTGAAGTTTTATTTCAGTTGTAGTGCTGGTTGATTGATTTGTTTTCCGACTTTCTCTGGAATAGAAAGTTGGTTTATTTTAAGTTTGACTGAACCAGTAAGATTAGATAATACTAACGTTGAATATTTCGTCACACAATAAGATTGACTTAAATATCAATTTCTAATTGTACTTCTCTTTAACAGGTATGGTTTTCGAACCGGCGAGCGAAGTGGCGTCGCGAGGAGAAGCTTCGGAGTCAAAGACGTGATGCTCCCGCTGCATCACCACCTGCACCACCCACGCCACGGCTACCGCTCAATGGAGGCTTCAACTCAATGTACAGTCCCATACCGCAACCCATTGCAACTATGGGAGAGTCTTATAGGTAAGTTCATGGGAAATGACATGGAAAAAATATATGAGATGAGAAAAGAATACTACGGTTGATTTCAAACCTTTGTATTTTATCAAAGTCTATTTAGGTATGCCAGTACTGTCTAACCAAATAAACTAAGAAAGAACATTAAACTTAGAAAAGTAGCCACATCCTGTAAAGTAAATATCAAAATACAAATCATTAAATAAAACGTTAAAAGGTTTTTAAACTTAAGGTATCGCCATCTATCATCGAGCGGCGACACTAATTAAATTGCGCGCGAAATCGAGCGGCAAAGGTCGCGCCTTCTTGCGTTTCCCGCCAATGCACCGAGACGCTACGAAGGCTACCGACTTTCCACATCGATTGATTTTTAATACTTAACTACGAGTTTTAGCTTTCGTCCCGAACTAATGAACTTAGTGGAATGAGTATCTCAGTTTTATTCACAGGGAATCTTTATGCTTTTACGCTTTTTAAATTTTGTTTGGTTGATTTATCGTTTCTTTTTTTGTTGTATCTTTGAATTTATTTATCACTACGAACTACATGCAGCAAAAGTAGTTGATGATTTCAACTACAAATAACTGAAAATGAACACGAAACAATCTAAGTTCATTCATTCATTCAGTAAATTTTTATTTTCTTCTTATTTATTTGCCTTCAATATTTTTCACTGTGGACGACATTGACAGTGCGCTTGGTTCCGACAGCGCGATGTCGGGCGGGCTGACTTCGTCGTGCCTGCAGCAGCGGGATGGCGGGTACCCCTACATGTTTGGCGACGTGCTGGGCAGCGGAGGCTACTCCAGAGCACCTGCAGCTCATCAACAACACGCTGCGTATTCACAGCCACAGGGAACTGCGGGCACTGGTGAGTTATAAATTTATGACATATTTTTGTGGCCATTTAGGTATTACGACTTACCTATATAATCTGTCCCTTTTTCGGGGAGGTGGGGGCAATGAAACGTTAATTGAAAGGATTATTATATTTCTTTATTTGCACTCATTCATATATATCATCCTCGTACAATATCTTCATGCATTCAAATTAGATATATTACAAGAAGCAATATACCATATACTTGATCATGATAAGCATTAATTCTGTACATAAACAATAAACGTCGTCCAACACGATAACTTGTAATTCCTGTCAGCAACAAAATACGAAAATGCTACAAAATCCACGCAATCGGCACGAGAAGCTTTGGAAAATATTTACCAACTTCGTAATAAAATGTAAAAAAAATGCTGAGTCAAGAGCAAGGGGCGTCTGGCCCACAAGACCGCGACATGATGGGGGAAACAAAAAAAAGAAAAAGGAAAAATAGGTATTCATGCTCCGATTGGATTTGCTGTTGTCTGTTCCTTACAAATAGCTTTTAAATTGATTTTGTTCATAGATAGTGGGAGTGAAAATATATGTATAAAAGACATAGAATACTAATAGCTTTTTGGATTTGTAAATACAAGTACGTATAAATACCTTAAACAAAACGTATCTAAATAGCAAGAGTGTAAATTTATTATTCCGAAAAAGACTAAGCCGAGAGGGGCTGGCAATGCTATTGTTTTAAAAAGCAGTAACTTTTCCATTTGATATTATATATCACGCGGCGGACATTTTTAGCCGTAGGTGGCGGAAAGCGGTATGAATTATTGTTGTTTGGGGCGTTTCGCGGCATTGTTCGTCTGCCGAGTTTCCAGCACCAACCGCGAACAAAAGAGTTTTTCACAATTCAAAATGCACGCTCTCGTTTCATTTACTCTTTTGCGCTCTTTCGACGGGTGCATTTCCAGCTTCGTGCGGTATTAAATAATGCGGATTTGTTCTACTTTTCGCTTTTTGGCTCCGGTTCTTTTACGAATTCAACGGGTATGAGGTATTTTTCATTTCAGTCAGAGTCCGAGATTACTTTTTTTTAGTATATTCTTTGTTAGTACGGATAGTGTTATTTTCATAGTAGACTGAAAAATATGTGATTAATATGCATGGTTTATTTCTACTCTGAAACATTTGTGTCAAATTATTAGCATAGAAAGCGTCAGTAAAACGTTCGTAAGTTTGTAGGCATCATAAATATGAGGGCACAGAGACAGGCCATTGACTAAACGAGTCTCACAGGAGCTGTTTAGAGGCGATAATAATGTGTAATGAATGTAAACGGTGGTACCCCTTTACCAACGCCGGCGGAACGGAAAACTGTTATCGGGCGGCCACACGCGCGGGGACGCTCATCGAAATAAGGGCTCCATAAATCTAGACGTGCAGCATTTTCGTCGTGTAATAGGTGTGTGTATTTTATGTGCGATAATAATATACAGGGGCGTTCACACAGAATTAAGCGTTGAAATGAAAAGCGCAAAAAAGTTATAACGAAGTTTTAAACACTTCCAAAGCTTAAGTTTATCCTTTCAATTCAGAAATCGATAATACTAAACTAAAGACTTAAGTTATCACACGGAGCCTTATGTTATTCCTACCAGAACATAATCCGAAATCTGTTCCCAAACATTCAGTCTGTTAGACAGACAGCTATGTGTATAACCGGGTATGTTGGCAACATCAGACGGATACGGTTAGCTTTATGACGGGCGCGACGTCACATAATCGAGCCAGACCTACCGTGCACAGATAACGCGATTGTGTGTAATAAACGGAATGCAATCGGAATCCTATTAGACATATGGCCCCATCGATACTGATACATGACGTTAATAGGTTTCACGTTTGATTGTGTTAACATGTGCCGTCGATACGGACAACTTGATTGGTTGCAAATTGTCTCGTGGAATAGGAATTTTGGAATGATTATTATGTTGCTGGGTTGGTATCATTGTTGGAAATGTTGTTGATCGTAATTCAAGTAGTCTTAGAATTAATGCGAATTCATTAATTTGATTCTAAATATTGATTAATAGTTTAGGCATAACGTTTTACCAAGTTTTTTTGTACATAATAATACAAGTATATTATTTGTTATGAAGCACAGCATACTTTATTATTTATACTTAGTCAATGTTATTTACGACTCAAAATCCAAAAACAAAACATTTGAATATTTTCATAGTAATCAAGAATTTTTATTTGTTTTTCTATAGGAGTAATATCAGCAGGCGTGAGCGTGCCTGTGCAAATCCCATCACAAGGGCCGGACCTCGCATCGAATTATTGGGGACGGCTTCAGTGATCTCAGCTATTCGGGTTCCCGCATCGGCTACTGTCGATGCCTGAGAACCCGACCAACATACCAGAGTCCCCATCTAGCGGCGAGATCGCGCACAACTACGCCGACGCGCACTTATCTATGAACGCAGCCATCAACATGACGGCCGGACACGACGCCAATGTTTTGGCGGCAGATATACAAGAACAAAACAATTCAGTGTCGTAAGTGTACACAAGACTGTTTAATATACCCCGTTCGTTTCACAATCCAGTTATTTAAATTTTAGTGAGATTTCAGTTCTAAATTTATGTAAATTTAATTTATGTATGTACAATAGTTTTCGGACTACACTTTAATATTAAGAGGCAACTGATGATGTTCAAAATTAATCGTAAGCAAACGACCGTACACGATGATGTGTGCTGCGCACTTCCGAACAATCACAATATTGTACTTATAATTTAATTTATAGTTTACTTAAACATAATACATACATGTATAGTAAATACAGATATTTAGGCATGTTTCATTGCGTACGGTCAATAAATAAAATAGTAAGCTAGTAACAATAGCGTGCAATTGTAAATATAGAACAGCGCCATCTATTGTCGAGTAGAGAAAGTTTCTTTAATGGCAGTCGAGAAGTTCTCGGCAGAAAATAAATGTAAATTGTTTGTGCCAACGTTTGTAATAATCGAGTGTTATGCGCCCTTTGCGTGCACAACCCTTTCTATTTCTTTGATGTATGCAATAGGGGTGCGAAATGTTAATGCTATAGAGAAAAAAAACGTGGCAATGAGCTTCGTTACGGCGTTTGTTTCACACCCCTGCCTTCACGAACAAATTGTCATACAAACTAATCATGTTTGTACTATTGTGATGACTCTTGTATAATATTGTTACTAAATAGATGTTGTACGTAATGTGTCAACTCGAGTTCATTAGCACACCTTGAAACGAATTAATTTATTATTTATTGATAAAATTAAGATAAATATCGCTGTGATTAAAATATTATTAAGATTTATAAGATTATTTTACCGTCATCACTGTGGTAAATTTGAACGAACTACTTTAAAATTACAGCAATGTTATACAAACTGTAATATGTATACTGAAGTCAAATATATCTCTCATTTCTTTTCTCAAAGGTGCTGAAAAGCAGCACAAACTATCATTTAAATAAATACTACTTGATAAATATGTACATTTATAATATATATTTTCATTAAAAATGCAATATGGACGTGGATAGGCGTTATGTATCTAATGTAATTTAGTTTCGAAGTAAGTGTAAAATAAATTATTACTTGGTATAAGTGCATATAGATTGAGGAGGTTACAGTGAAAATTTATTAATAAATATTGCATTAACCATTATTATATTGTTTTCTTTGGACCCTAATATCGTTTGGGATGACGAATGGGACGTTTCGAGTGTATCTAATTGTACAACAATGGGCTAATAAAGACGCTTATAAGTATAATATTAATATTTTTGTTGGAATTGCAACCTTATTGCTTGGGGATTGTATAAAAATATTGTTCATATTTTCTACACTTGGACTTTCGACCTTATTGCTTAGGGACTACCCTATGCATTGCGTGCTAAGAAATTATTCCGATAAGTATATTTGGGCGGTGTATATTAATTTTGTGTTGGTTAACTTTGTATGGCACCCCAGTACCCCACGCATTGAAGGGGAGGTCCAACAATGGGATGGGATTAAACGTGTTGTATCGAAGGTATTATAGTGATCTAAATGAAGAGGGAACTTAATACAGCGCGTTGGTAAAATGTTTTAAATTGTTGTGGCGTCATCTGCATCGGTAGGTATAGAAATGGTCATCTAGGATTTGGGATCTATGCTACAGTATTAGACAACAGTTTTGGAATGTAAGATAAGCTTTACTTTGCTATGGTAGGTATAGAAATGGTCCTCTAGAATTTGGGATCTATGCTACAGTATTAGACAACAGTTTTGGAATGTAAGATAAGCTTTACTTTGCTATGGTAGGTATAGAAATGGTCCTCTAGAATTTGGGATCTATGCTACAGTTATTAGACAACAGTATTGAAATGTAAGGTAAGCTTTAGTTTGCTATGGTTCATTTAAATACTTGCTCTTATTTTCATAGTCCAATGAAAATAGCATCTTACAGCTAGATCCCACGATCAACAGACTTTAAAAATAAATAAGGTAAGTTTTATTAATGCTATGTTCAAAGTCACAACCTTCCATGCTGGTTTTTATTCAAACTAACCCTTTAATACTACGAATTTTAAGATGTCCTTAAATATCGTGCCATCTCTGTCAGTTTACAAAGAATTTGTAGAGACAGAAATAGTTTTGTCTCTACAAATTCTAAAAAACGCTAAACGCTTGTCAATTTTACTCGCGCTTAAGTATAGACTTAAGCGCGAGTTAAAATTGACAAGCGTTTCAGTATTCGAGCATAAGTCACTCAAATCAATGATCAGTTAAATTGAAGACAGAAAAGATGTCTATTTTGACTGATCTATCATTTACATTATTTTTATACAAAACTCATTTAAACAACACACATCGCCCATTACCAACACATAAGAAATATCAAAACAGTTCACTTTTGGCTCCATCACAAGCTGATCAGATAAACCCATCCTGTACCAATACAATGGGGTCTATCAAAAACACGAACCCAGCGCCCTCTATGCATAAAGCAACTGCACAGATTATCAACGCTTATAATTGGTTTACATTTTGTCTGTCTGTACCCTATCTATTGACGGGGACGAATGCGTTTGATTTGAATAGCTAATCTTATGTTGGCCAGTTCTGTATGGTAGGGTCTAGTAATTAATGTTCAAGGTTTTGTAGTCAAATTGTGTTACGAATCTTTACTTGGTATTATAAAAATGAAAGTGTGTTTATTTGTCATTCTCTCATTTTGCTTTAAGGTATTATTTTTAAGTCTGGAGGCATGAGGTTTAAGAGACGAAGCCATTGGCAACAGTTAGTAATAGATATGCGAGTGATAGATAAACGTAGGTAATAATAATAATTAAACAAATACAATATATATTTAGGTAACATATTTATTAGCTAAAAATGATAATGTTTACATGTATTCAAGTCTCATTATAATCACACTTGACAGTCTTACAGCGATTTGATATGATGGCATAGTATTTAATAAATATCTAATAACATATATCTACTGATAATTATAATGGAAGAAACGTTTTTAGCCGACTTCATAAAAGAGGAGGTTCTCAGTTTAACCTGTATGTATGTTTGTGCGGAATTATCTCGCTATTGGCTGAACCAATTTCGAAGTGTTTGTAACACTTTGGAGGAGGTTTTAGTGTATTAATTAACCCGCTTCAGAAACAGAGGGGGTTGAAGTCAATTTTTTTTAAATGTTGTTTATAATGTTTTTATAATAACTATCATCAGACATACTAAATTAAGTAAAAACGCGGGTTACTCACGTGAATATACTGAGAAAAGCTCTACTAGTTTCGAACCACAGAGGGGTTCCTCATGAGCAGCGTGCGCGGTCGCGGCGACGTCGCGCATGTGGTTTATAAATTTATTATTATAACATAAATAACATTGGATACATTTTTTTGGTTATTAAATATAACATTACATAAGGCATTCAATATGTATAACGAGAGAGCGTAAGTAGCAACATTGTCTTGTAATTATCATAATATTATTAAAGTCTAATGCGTATTTAAGTTCAATATTGTAAAAATGGACGTTGTTAACTATATTGGCAGGGTGCTATATCTGTCCCTTTCGCACGATTACTTTATCCAAAAGCTAGACAGAGACGGAAATGTATAAATTATTCAGTATAAATAAGCTTTCAATTGAATTAATTTTTGTTTAGCATTTTTTAGTTTAGGAGAAATTTGATAAGTATTTCTAAAGGCGTAAACTACTGTAAATAAGCCAAAATCTACAGTAGCGATCTATAGTTAAATGTCACGCTAATTTAATAACTGGTGATAGTTTTTTATTTATCAAATATTTTGACGACATTTTGACATCTATTTTTTTTTTGTTTATAGTGAAAAAAGATGATTAAACGTTTTATCAATACAATTGATTTAAACTAAACTAAATTAAAAAAAATAAGTCTAGGATTAATAATAATTATATTTCTTTGGAAAATCAAAATTGGCACGATAGAATCGTTTAAAATAAGTTCTTGTTTGGTTATCATGGTAACCGATTTTGTTACTAAGTATGTAGTTAGATTTATAACGATTTTATTGAGATCATGTGTTGCAAACACAATGTTAGTTGTTATAGAGATTAGGCAGATGTAATCTCTAGGAATATTCTGAGTATTGCTTTGAGAAGGACGAGGCGCCGTTCAAGACCAAAGACAGGAATTGGATCTTTGGTGATCTTTCCTTCATAACAATTTTTTTATGGAATAGGAGGCAAACGAGCAGGCAGATCACCCGATGGTAAGCGATCAGCGCCGCCCATGGACAACAACACCAGCAGCTGTAGCCAAATGCCATTTACCGCTTGTCTACATGTAGAATAGAAAACCAAATCATATGGAATTGACGTAAATTTTGACACCTGTCACTGTCATCCCCATACATTTAGTTTTCTACTCTCTCTGTAGACAAGCTCTAAAGTGGCGTTTGGGTAAAGGCCCTGAGGAGTCATATGTGTGTTGACGGCCTTTTAAAAAGGAATACGCTCTTGTCTTGAAGGTTACTTCATTAGGTTACCATGGCAACAATTATTGTTAGTGAATTAATTTATTTACTAACCATTTTTGAGATCGTGTTTTTTGGAAAACGTTTATTTAACTAGAAAATTTGTTTAGACCTGACTTACTTTAGATTGAAGAATAATAATATTTGAATTTATAGAGGCATTTTTATGAATAGTTGAAATTGTTTAAGATATATGTTGATTTGTTTATTTTTCATTGTTTTTAAACAGATACCAGTAGTTAAGTAGTGTTGTGTCTAAGACAGTAGGGCTGTTCTTTCGTTCTGAACTCTTGCAACAGGCGTAGCATAACCTTCTCCAGGTTGTTGTTCTGGGCTGAAATTGAGATAAAACGAATGTTACTAACATAAATAATAATATGTATTTTATGGGATAAGAATGCAAACGAACTGACAAATCATCTGATGGTAAGCAATCAGTTATGCAACACTGGAGAAGTTAAACGTTAACTGAGCCTTTGTATTGAGGAGCTTACAACATGTCATGATCTCTGAAGGACAAAAGGATGAGACTAAAACGAATTTAGCAAAATTCATTCAGCAGTTGAGCAGTTTAGTAAAATACCAACATGTGTGAGTAGTGTTACTCAATAAAGTAGTTGCTAAAAACTCAAGAATTTAGTAGACAAGGAGTATTTTTTTTTTAATTCTTTGATTTATATAGGTAATGTAACACTTGAACGGAAATGATATGTATCACGGATACGATTTCAGCGATACTGCGTAGTTATCTCCGAGACATTCATTGTTTCAATCGCTTTATCATTTCACTTTGTGATTCATACACAATATCTGTATTTTAAAAGAAAGTATGTAAACAGGGCAGATTTCATATTTTATTGATATACAAAACAACAAAAGCAATATTGTAACAATACTTGTAAATAGTTACGATATTTGCGTTCATTTTTTGAGATATTAATAGTTATGCGCATGCGCATCACTTATGATAAGGGAGCATTGAACTCTAAAATTGCGTTCAAGTTTAAATTTTGATTTAAGTAAGTTATCTACTACATCTATTTACTTCAAAATATGCTGTATTACCTTCTGTACCTACATTAATAATAAAATACGACTATAAGGTATTTTATACTATATAAATTCCAAAAGACCATTGTTATACGAGGTACATTCACAAAGAAACATACTTCATCAAGACGTACTATCAGCTATTCATCGATTAACCACAATTCAACCTTAACAAGAGCAAATAAAGAGTTTCAAATCGAACTTACCGGCGGAAATAGTTACTGATGGCACCATACATAGTAGGTTCAGCCATGCTGGGTCTGACCAGCCTCGTAGGGGGTGGGAACGGGGGTCTACCACGGTTGTGCCAATGCTGGAAGAAGAAACCTAGACCAGCTAAAACTATCCATATCGACGCCATTGATATGTCTGGAAAGAAAGACGAGGAGAATTAGGTTATGACAAATTGTTCAGATGCCATCGAACTAACCTTTAATCTGTCAATTGGTTTTTCACTGAATTTTACACTTTATAATAAATCCCATAAAGTTCAATATGATCTGCTGACCATTGTAGATGACAGAAATTATATAACTGCAGAATTAAGACCTCAAAAAGGCTGAAAATGCTCTTGTGTTGAAAGTGTCGGAACGCGTGGCGTCTGATGACTAATTTTTATTTTAATGTCTGTCTTGTAGATTATTTAAAAACATTAGACACGTATTTTTTATTTTCTTACAGAAACAAATAGTTTCGAAGATATATTGATTTGAAATAAGTACCGCATGACGTCACTTTTGAGTACGATTTATACTCTAAAATGACGTAGCTACCCCCACTCCTAAACTTTGATTCGTTTTATCTAAGTATTCTTTTCTTATAAGACAAAATAAAAGAAAATATGTGTGTAATATTTTTTCATTACATAACTGACGGACTTATTAGATTTTTAATTTTCATACCCTGTCATCATCTCTATTGCTTACGATCATGTGATCCGTCTGCTTTGTTTGACCCCATATAAAGAAAAATAAGTCTTAGAATCCTGTTCTACCCTGACAGAACAGGATTCCAGGATCTCCTGAGCTGCGGACAAACAAACGGGTTACCGGAGCTCCAGCTTAAAGCAGGAGTAGGAACGGGGTGGTTTTTATTAGTCAGTAAGAGTCTGACACTTTGTCTCGTGTCCTCATTCAAGGCGGGAGAAGTCATTGGATGAATGTCCCCATCAAAAGAAACCTGGGGGCTTACTCTTGAATCCAATACCGATCGATCGACATTGGTATTATGAAATTTCGTACTCTCGAGTTGTAACACTAGCGCCCATTCTTCCGTAATGCGTGGATATTGAATGAACTAAATGGTATTGAGTTTCGCTTTATATTCCGTACTCTGAATATTATTGTAACAGGTACGATTGTGGTTGTATAGCTTTGACATTGAATCATATTGAGATTTTTTTGGATTGAAATTGCATTGACATTGAGATTGGTTTCAAGAGTAAGCACCCTGTTCTATATTTTGACAGGAATTACCAAATGCGCTGTCCAGTGCTGTATTTCACATTCCATTCGAGATCTTTCCTGCCTAGTGCTCACTGTATTAAATATCCCCATTAAAAACAATTATTTTATTGCACAAAGTTTCCAATTGTGTGGTTAATAAATGTATTTATTACATGTTCTGGTGTTGTTTTTAAAACCTATGTTTATGACTCTTAACAGGAAAATAAGGAGCAGATTTATAGTCGTTTAATTATCCCTAAACACTGTACGATAAAGAGCTCAGTTGAGGCAAATGGGAAAACAGTAATGTAGGCAACAATTCGGATGATGACAAGGTATGAAAATTAAAAATCTAATTAGTCTGTAAGTAAGATAATGAAAAAATATTAGACACGTATTTGTTTTTATTTTGTCGTATATTTATTATACGACAAAATAACGTAAATACGTGTCTACATACTACTATTGTTAAAACAATACTTAGATAAAACAAATCAAAGTTTAGGAGTGGGGCTTAAACGTTATTTCTACGTATAAAATGTACATAGAAGTGACGTCACGCGACAATGCAAATCAATATATCGTCAAAAGTATCCGTTTCTGTAAGAAAATAAAAAACACGTGTCAAATGTTTTAAAATTATCTACCAGGCGGACATTAAAATAAAAATTAGGCATCTACCTTATTGATTTTGTTTTGGATGAATTATGAAAATTTTATAAAGTAGAGTTGATAAGTACAACCTATGGTTTCCCAGGGTTGTGAACGATCTTACGGGTTACCGGGGCTCCGCCGCAAAGTAGGGGTAAAACCGGGGCGGGGTAGTTTATAGTCTGTGTAAGAGTCTGATACTTGGACCTATCTGACTGTCCCTACTCAAAAAAAAAAACAGTAAGATCGTTCGCAAAATGTTTTGATTTTTAAATTGGATTTTTACTCCATGTTTTTCAACTACAACGAATGCTTCTTATAGGCCCGTGAATGAGCTTGAATAATATTTTATTAAATAAATTACGGGCCCACTAAACCACACTGACATTAGAAAATAGTCGATTGGAAGGGAAAATTAATGACTATTTCCTGTTGGTTGCTGATCGTATATGCGCGTGAGCAAGCAAATAGACAATGGTAACCTAACCTCTCTAAGGATTTAACGGATAGGTATTTGTGGTTTTTTTTTCAAAAATCACCGTCCCTTTGCCACTTCAGTTGGCTTAAGATTAGTAACAAGATAATGTTTTCAACAAAACAGAGATAGGCACCTTCTGACCTATATTATATTATCTAAGTATAATACTTATTTAAATGTTTTCGTTAAATTACACGTCTTATGCTGTATGTTATTGCTAAATAGGGTAATCACCTATGTAATTACATTACAGGGACCAAGGACAAAGGGTTAGTCACCTACAGTAAAATAGGTACTATTTTATGCGTCCGCGCAGAACATAGGTTATACGCAAATGAATGGGGATGATGACAGGGTATGAAAATTAAAAATATAATTAGTCCGTAAGTTAGGTAATGAAAAAATATTAGACACATATTTTTTTATTTTGTCGTATAATAAAACAATACTTAGATAAAACGAATCAAAGTTTAGGAGTGGGGGCTAAAACGTCATTTCTTAGTATAAAATGTACTGAGAAGTGACGTCACGCGACATTTCAAATCAATATATCTTCGAAACTATTCGTTTCTGTGAGAAAATAAAAAATACGTGTCTAATGTTTTTAAATAATCTACCAGACGGACATTAAAATAAAAATTAGTCGTCTACCCTCTCCAGTTTACTCTATAATAATAATAACACGACTAGACTGCCACATTGGCCGAGTGGTCGCAAGTGCGACTGCCGGGCAAGGGGTCTCGGGTTCGATACCCCTGTCGGGCAAAGTACTACTGGGTTTAAAAAAATCTCAATTGTAGGACGGAGTCTGGAATCGTGTCCGGTATATGGCAATAAGCTCACCCCCTATTACATGGGACTCATAACATAAATAGTGAAAAGTGGGTGTTACATTGCAATGTACACCTCTGCCTGGCGGCTAACTCTTGAATCCAATACCGGTCGATCGACATTGGTATTGTCAAATTTCGTACTCTCGAGTTGCATCACCAGCGCCCATTGCATCCTTATTGCGTGGATATTGAATGAACTAAATGGTATGGAGTTTGGCTTCATATTCCGTACTCTGAATGCTATTGTAACAGCTACGATTGTGGTTGTATAGTGTTGACATTGGACAATTATTGAGATTTTATTGGATTGAAATTCATTGACATTGAGATTGATTTCAAGAGTAAGTAACCTGGTCTTCGGGGATAAAAAGGCGTAATGTTATGTTATGTTATGTAATAACACGATGCACAATGGGCAACTAATAAGCTGTAACTACATACATACATATTTCAGAGACCGAAAAGTTGTTCTTTCGTTAAGAAAATTATGTTTAACAGAGAAAATCGTACATAAAAAAAAACACTACTCACCTTTCCAATCCAAAGGCGGTGCTAAAATTGCCTTATTAAAGTGTGGAACAACAGCTCTTCTAATCACATTTATAATAATGAACTTCAAGTTCGATCCCATGTAGTAATCCATGGCTAACACTGTTGCGTACGCGCCGATGACGGCACAGCACAGAATGTTAGCCGCATAAGACACGGAGACGACTGCTAGAGCCGTCAGCATCACCACCAGGACGAAAAGACTCCAGAAATTGAAGTCCAATTCCAGGAATATTTGGTGACCTACAATTTTATAAATGGTTAAAAATAGGTAGTAATAAAAGCTCTGACAAGAAAAGAAGAATTGTTCTTACTGAAAATATTAAATCTACTGCCTAAAATACTAACTTTCCGACTACTTTACATGACTGTTTATTGCTACAATACTAACCTAACCTAACCTAAAACGTCTGTTGTCGGTAACTTAGTAATTTTGTTGGAGGTTCAATATTCTATTCGGAAGTTTAGTTTTGTTATTCGAAGATCCATTTTTATAGTCGGCCACAGATCGCTGGATCGGAACCATTATTATTTTCCGTTAAAATTGTACACGTCATAATTTTTGTAATAAGAAGACTCTGTGAGTATCAATCGGAAGCAACACAAACCTATATATTAACTTGTAGCTTTTACACGCAGCTTAAATTATGCTCCTCTTTACTCCCTCCCAATTGCGAGTGAGTGTGGGATTACCGGAAACCCCATTACCTCCCCCCCATCCCCCAATTTTCGAATCCCCAATAACCCTCAAATTTCTTATCCCCAAAAAGCCGGCAACGCACTTGTAACGCGTCTGGTTTTTCAGGCCGGCGCCGATTGATTACCATCAGGTGATCCATTTACTCGTTTACCGGCTAATACCAAAAAAAAAATACGTAGGTAAAGATTCAAGAAGGCTAATTGAGACGCCTAAAGATACAAACACGCAAACTAAATGAACCCAGCATAAGCCGCCCCCTAATACAAATCCACGAGTAATACACCTAAGAAAAAATACACCAATTCAATTATTACAATCAACTCACCTGGAAGTCTATAATAGAATATCGAAGCAAGCAAGAATCCAAGGTTCAAAGACGGTAACAGTACTGCGAGTACAGGTATGCCGTATAACCACCAGAACAGCCACCATATCCCTCCGAAGAACACACCAGAAATCGTTGCAGCGGCTAATAATGCTAAAACAATTTCAAGGTCAAATGAAAACTATGGTCATCATCATCAACAACAGAGCGCTTACTCTTGATCCAATCTCATAGCAATGCAATTTCAATCCAATAAAATCTCAACATATTCAATGCGTGAAACTAATAATTCAATCTCAAAACTATACAACCCCTATTGTAGCTGTTTAAATAGCATTCAGAGTACGGAATATAAAGCCAAACTCAATACCATTAAACTGTCAAACACCAAGCGGTCACCGGTGACCGCAACCTATTGTTCTTTAATTGTGTCTATAAAACCGGTACTCGACGAGTTAAGGGCCAATTTTTCAATGCTCAGATAAATTTTAACTGAGGAATAACGTTAAATATTTGACAATTCTTCCATTCTGTCAACTGTCAATGTAATTCTACAGTTAAGAATTAACTGATGATAGAAAAATCGGCCCTTAGTTTATTAAATATCCTCGCAATACCGATGCAATGGGTGCTAGTATTGCAACTTGACAGTACGAAATTTCACAATATAATGTCGATCGATCGGAATTGGATTCAAGAGTAAGCCCCCAGAACTGTGAAAGTTTACTGTTGTATGAGTCTCCTATGCAAAAGAGGGTTTGCTACAATCTCCATGCTTAGCAAAAAGGTTGGAGCTGTCACTTCAGCACCAACCCATAACCAACAGACCTTTGTTTGATTTAAAAAAAAACAAACATCGAAGTTCTTTTGGCTGATAGTCGAACCAGAGGAAACTGTTCAACTAAACTCAAAACAGGTAGAAAAGTGTAGCAAATCAATTTATGCAAAGAACCTTGTTCCCATCTTAATGCACGATCTATTATCATGCGCACGAGTTCTTTTCAGTGGCGTGCTTCACTTAAATTCATATATGTTTACATGTTTAGTACTTATATTTAGCACAGAGCAACGTAACGAATTGCTAGTAATAATAAATCAATAATTTATAATTACCTGGTTTATCAACTACGGTAATTAGAGCTATTAAAATATAAGTTATGATGACGCCGGTAAAGAATCCGGCGAAAAACATTTCGGTCTTGAAGAAACGATGTCCAAAGAAACATATAAAAACTCCAACAAACATTAATATAGCACACAGTAGTTGGGATAGCCAGTCATCTGTAAAACATATACAAAATATAATATCACATTTATCTGCCAAAAATTACTAGGTATGTACAATACCATTTTCCTAAACAACATTTTCCTAATGGAGAATCGACTTCTAACCTAATAATTTTAAATAGACTGTCTGAACCGAGGATCGAAGGTCTTTAGCCCTTCCTTACGCTGTGCCCTTAAGTACATCATCATTGTATTAGCCACGACACATTGAGATATCCGCTACTGCACTTAGGTCTCCCTAATGACTTTTAGATCATTCGATTGGAAACGACATGCATCCAGTAGCTCCCTGCGATCTTTATATCAGCCTTCCGGGTCTTGAGTTGGGCTTATCAGTACATTACATAGCTTTCATTCCAGAAATTGTCTACCTCATCACTTATCAGTTTGCTTCAAAAACAGACAAGCTTCTAAATATGATTTCACATAAATACCTAAGGATTTAGATTTGGGTAGATAGAAAACTTGATTTAATCACGAAGGCATAACTTACCAATCATTTCGCAGCCATAATCATTTACGTCATTGCAACCGTAACTATAGCTTGGTACGTAGATAGAGTATTCTGAGGTATTATCAACCCTTGTCGCTACTACTGTGTATATTGCACCAGTGCCAGGGTAAGCACTCAACATACGGCGCGTCTCCGGCCAGGAACTTTTCGGAATCTTAGGGAGAAAAGTCAAAGTAAAAAATCTTATATCTATATATATAAAAGAAAGTCGTGTTAGTTACACTATTTATAACTCAAGAACGCCTCAATCGATTTAGATGAAAATTGGCAGGGAGGTAGCCTAGAACCAGGAGACGGACATAGGATACTTTTTATAGAATACTTTTTTTTTACTTTTTACCGAAAATCACGAACGGGAACGGGGGGAAAATGGGATTGCGCGTACAAAGTCGCGGGCAGAAGCTAGTATGATATAAATTGGTTTCTCTGTGTTGAATTTAGACCCGAAAATATATATTTAAATAGGTCGTATTTAAAATATATCATTAAAAAATATAAGAGCCAAATATGTACCAGCCTAGCTGGATACTACCATATTTTTGGCCAAGGTAAACTACTTAATGGAACCCAAGAACTTGCACGTTATCTGCAAATTAGCATAAATAGAAAACTTAAACTTGAATATAATCATGATAAATCCAAAAATAGCAACAGATAGAAATCAGATAGACCAAGATTTGTCTGCTTACTCGGTAACCATATTTCTTAATATTCTTGAGGCTCATCATCTTCCTGATGCCATCAAAGTAGACATCAGCGTAGAAATTCATTTCGGGTAGATACATCATGTAAAAAGACATGTTCGCTTGCATTGTAATTGAGCACTCAGGGTCTACTGATGGTGGTGCTGCGTCCACAAAAATATAGTCGCTGTATGTCATTACATTCAGATAAGGAGTCACTGGTATTGGGAACTCCATGTTGCATCCACCCGGGATAGGTTCTGAAACAATCGTAACTGGTTTATGAAGGTACCTAGTTATTCAAGAGACTAGACTAGTTAAGCGATCACAATTTGTTTGTGTCTGCGTGTCCTTCTTAGTGGTAGAAGCTGCCATTGGTCGTATCTCCTCAGTTTCCAGCTTTTTCACGGCCGTATCCAGGGGCGTGAGATACGAATCGTCAACTGCAGGGTTGCTTTAAACGGACTGGATCCCCTGGCATGCGTAGAGTCGTAGATGTAGGGTCGTTATGCATCTTCAATCGCTTATACCATGGGGAGTGCTCCGCTGACAATACACTCGTCACTCCACTGGTGTTGCGGGTGTCCGCGGGCGGCGCTTACCGTCAGGTGATCTGTCTGGTCGTTTGCTCACTACCTAATTCATTAAAAAATGTAATTTATTTCGCGGCCAAGATGTGACCGCCGGAATTCTATTTTGGTCATCATTTCAGTGGTTTGATCTTTATAATATATGCAGATTATGTTATGCATAGTGCGTCAAAGAAAAAAAAACCTGTATTATATCGTCAGTCATAATATTTTGTGTTATATTAATGTAACGTAAACCTTGTGACATTTAACTAGTAAATGATACCAGTCAGTCTTGTTACCTGAGTAGTAACAAGTAACTGCCCAAATATAGTTTCACTTCCTACTTGATGATTTTTATTCATACCTACAAATATTCTGTTTTGATAATAAATCCAAGGTCGTTGAAAAAATAGCAGACATAATTGCCCAAATACTGAAACGTTACTCAATTTAAGTCGTGCTTAAATATCGTACCATCTCTGTCATATCACAAAGAATTTGTAGAGACAGAACTATACTTAAGTACGACTTAAAATTGAGTAGCGTTTCAGTATTCCGGCAAACGTCATTTAGAAATGATTGAAATAAGGTGTACAATGTATTTAGTGGAGAGCAGTCACCGGTGACTACTTGGGGATATACAGTTTAAAACTATTGTTTAGATACACATACACAATGGAATTCAGACTAACTATACTACCTCATTTCCAGCATAAAGAGACATCTCACTATGTAGTGTTTTAATGCGATAAGAAGTCATCTTGCAGTTGGTAATATGTGGATTTTGAGAAATTAGTTTTGAATTGTTAAATTGTGGTTAATATGCTAGTATTTTTACATTATTCGCAAAGGACAAGGTGACAGTGTATGATTTAATTTCAAAGTGTATGAATAAATACTTTGAAATAAAATCACAAATAGTTATGTTTAGAACAAGAAGTTCATAATTAATATATTAAAATATTTACTGTAAAACAACTTACCCATTTTGAAATATCCATGGACGGAAATATAAACACGAACAGTGACATTGTTATTAAAATTTGATACAATAAATGTGTTTACAGGACTTAAATAACTCACTAAACCAAGATTAGTGCCTATAACAGTCTGATTGCCTTGTTCCTCGTCACTTGTATACAGGGTGATATTATTTATGTGACTGTGGGCTTGGAAAACTATAAACGTAAGGTTCTTATTGACATCAGTAAAATTAATTGTAACTCTTGATATGCCATTTAATGTAATAAAACCTCCGTATATTTCCCTGTTGTCATATGTTATTGAGCTATTTAATGGTATAGTTATGCTGCCATCTGAAACAAATATTTTAATTAATTTTGTTTATGTAAATGTCAGTGGGTCGTCATAGGGGCGGAAAAATCATTGGGTATTAGTGTTTTATGCTGAATATCCATTGCGATTTCCGGGTTATTTAATACTTATAGGTAGAGTAAGGACAGTAATCTATACTAATATTATAAAGCTGAAGAGTTTGTTTGAACATGCTAATCTCTGAAACTACTGATTCAAATTAAATAATTCTTTTTGTGTTGAGTAGTCCATTTATCAAGGAAGGCTATAGGCTATAAAACATCTAGCTACGACCAATAGGAGCCGAGCAGAGCAGGTGAAACCGCGCGCAAGTAGCTAGTTAGAATATAAATTGCCAAAATACCTTACAAAAATATTTATTATAAGATACTGTTATAAATAATGTAATAGAAGGTATTCCAATAAGATAGCCAGATAGCGGCATTTTGTCTGTATTAAAAGTACTTGTGCATTAAAATATAATGTACCTTGTGTAGCAACAGAATTGAGAAAATAAATTAATGACACTATCACTAAAAGAAGTCTATCACCCAATAAAGAATGCATTTTCACTTATCGATACCAGAAATGTAATAAAAACGTTATCACTGATTATATTGAAACACAATAGCGAAAGTTTTGATGTCTTCCAATTAGAGCATAAATAATTCGTAACAGCTGATCATTTTGACACTTGACAAGATCACAACTGCTTGCAAAATTCACTATTAGCTGAAGATTGTTGGGACATTGAACTACACTGTGATAATAAATGACACCGCAATGAAATTATTCACATTTTGTCCGTATGATAGCGCGTTCATAATAGGTACACAATCGGCAAGGAAAAGTCGGCAAACGAACAAAACAAGTCAGCCGAATGACAGCTTCCTATCAGAAACAATGACAATGACGTAGAGCGAATGAAATGAACAAGTTTGACCTAGTTTTAAAATCATTCGTTCACGCAAGGAATGAATTGTAACAGATAAAATAATAAATATTTCATACCTGATTTTTTTAGATTTTTGTGCAAATCTAATTTAAAGATTCGTGGGTAATGATTTGAATATTATTATTTCATTATTATGATGTGAGCACATGTAACTGATCTGATTATAACTTTTAAGATCACTAAAAATATCTTTTGGTCGGTACAATTTTGTGAAATAAAGTTTTCCCACTTGTTCCCGCAATAAAGTAAAAACAGTTTTTTTAGTATTACAATGTATTGTTACTGTACTAGAAAGTGTGATTCCAAACAAATGAAAATTTACGTAATCTCTTACTCTTATCATGCTTTTCAACAGAAACTAGTTGAATTTATTGACTGAACTTGTTCAAGTCAAGATGGGGCTGCTTTTATTCCATTTAGGGATTTTATATTGAGTTCGTATTAATTATTACAAGGAATAAATCATATTATATTTCAAAATTAATGGATATTATTGTAATATAAACAACATTTAATTCGTCCTGGTTTGTAGCAGTACGCGGCTCATGACATGACTGTTCACTGTGTTCGTTTCATTCTCGATATCGATTCCTTCGCAGGCCGCTAGAGCGCACTCACGTCAAAATTCTCAAATATGGCGGCGCGATCAATGAAGTTGTAATGTGTAGTGAGTGAAGTCTAGTGTAAAAATTGAAATGTTTAATTTTGGTGTTGTTTTTGTGTGTGGTTGTTAACGTTAATGGGCCATGGGAAGGGGCCAGGAGCTTTTAAACGCCGCCCGCGAAGGCGACAAGCGGACAGTGGAAAAAATACTTGGCCAAATAACTAATATAAGTGGTCCATTTACAAGGTGGGTCCTGAATCATGTTTTATTGTTTAACTAGTAGAATAGTGTAGTTAAATCTGTTGTAGACGTACTAAGTCGTTACAGTAATATAATTCTTTGTTTTAACAATAGGAAAAATGGTAAAAAAATGTTATCTTTGTATCAACAATGGTGTATTGTTATCACAATTTTATAATGTTTACGTGCTTATCGCAGTTTCATGACAGATGATGGTTTCATAAACGCTATATAAAATCATTAAGGCATGTTTAATGTCCCCTGGAACATTGGTACAGGTCAATGGTCATCAGTAACATATTCATCTATAGTTATACCCTAAGTAAATTACCTACTTCAGTAACTAATTCGAATTTGTCAAGTCAAGTACAGGCCATGCCCATTTTACCTGCAGATATTGTGCTAAATTGTATATTTGTCAACTATATAATATTCCTGGACAGGTGTGGGTATAAAATTAAACATTATTTTCTTCCCTACAAAGAAACAAATTGAATGAATTGAAACTTGGAAGCCCAATAATAATACTTCTTACAGAGGTAGTAAACTAGTTTTGTGTGGTAAATGACTTATTCACTACTAAGATAAATGTCCATAGATTTTCCTTATAACTGGTTAGCTTGACTCAAGACCAGTTGTTTGTTATTTTATTATAAAAAAACCCACTTTATTACTTCAATAGTCTTATTTCCACATCAGTTTAACTCGTCGAGTACCGGTTTTATAGACACAATTAAAGAACAATAGGTCGCGGTCACCGGTGACCGCTCGGTGTTTGACAGATTAATGAAAAATTATTTAAAAACTGAGTAGTGTTGTTATAAACAAAATCATTTATTTGCTGAGCTTAACTATTTTTTTTGGGAAGGTAACACATGCTAAACTAGGTAATTAAATAAATTACATGTGACCAGTAAGTTTTACAGAAACATTGTTTATAACAATTCTCAATCTAATTGGTTGACAATGAATCCTATTAGATGTGGCAAAAGGTCCGAAATAAAATGAAACTTTAATTTTGTGATCATAAGGTGTGTTAGAACTTGCCAGTAAGTTCCTCTCGCCTATCAGAATTTCTGTCTTTCGAAACCAATTGAAGTATGATTTTTGTTTATAATACAAATTAAGAAATAAATATTGACTGGGTACTTAAGAATGACTGTGACTAGTAGACTAAGGACTCATATACTTATATCATTCTTGTATATATGCTTTAGCAGTGTTTTGATCATAAACATAAAAGCCTGGTCTACATATTTTGTAACTTTTAGCTAAATTAAACATGTCATAGTCCGATAGTTACACAATGTACAGGTAAATTAATATTTTACCTGTTGAATGCTGTACATATGTACAATTTACAAGGTAATTGTCAGATATTTTATCTATCAGTTACTATTAATAGTTAAATAACAAACTCATTGTCAAATCCCAAATGTACTAGATCAATATTACCTATACCTGTTTACCTGCGATAAGTAATTGTGGAAATACCCATTTTATGTGACATGTGAAATGGGTATTTCTATTTACTTACCTATGGCCGAATTTAGTTTGAAGTTTTGCCTAGTTATTTTTTTTATTTTTTTACCGTTGGTTGCGGAAGCTTCGCTAAAGAGGGATAATAGATTCCGATGTTCGGAAGCAGACGTTGGCTGATATTGTAATTTAAGTATATGTATATTCATATTTATGTAGTTGAAGACTATGATATTGTATTACTATAATTATCATATTTTTAACCTATACTTATTAAATTTAATTAATATTTTATTAAACATTATACCATATTCTGGTCATTGGTTTAAAACATGAACCGTTTTCTGTACTATAAAGTAATTTTTGGCATTATTTTTATTCAGGTTATTTTAGTCAAGTGATTTAATAAATCTCAATCTAGTCTGCTTATATTTCTCACCACATTTATGCAGCCCTTTTTAAATTTCTATCCCAAGCAACCGCAGAGAACCTAACGGGTAACCGGGGCTCCGGCTCGACATGCAGGAGAAGGAACAGGGTGGTTTTTAGTCAGTAAGAGTCTGACACTCCCTCCCACCTCACCCAGGCGGGAGCAATCATTCGATGATTATCCCCCTTAAAAAAAATCCCAAGCAACTGGTTTTTAATTAAATTTCAACTTTTATTTAGGTAACTTATTATAACTAACTATAAACTCCATGTGTCATGTAAGATGTTGTTTAATCTTAGTAATATGTAATGAATGAGTATCTATATTTGTGTAATTCTTATTATTACATATCCTAATAATATGACTTAGTTGTTTCAAGATAAGATCTGAGTAACTACTTAAAATAGTAATTGTACCTACCTAATATTTTTTATCAAATATTTATTTTACTTTACATGAAAAGCACTTTATGTCTGGATGTTATACTAATGCGACAAAGAACTTAGTATTGGTATGGAATATTGAATAAGGAATTCGGTTTTACTTTCCACATTCTTAATGCAGGTATTTTGTCAAAAGATACCACCGCATGTTCGACATTACTTAAAAGTTCTCAAAATATTTTTACCTTATCCTGTGTCTACCTAAATGACTTGTTAACTGTACCCTAAAGATAAGCTACATTTTTGCCGTAAAAACGTAACTATGGCGCTTAATGGCTGTTTACTTTCCACTTTAAAGGTAGACAGACCATTTCGCATTTATTTGCGCATAGATAAAATTGAAATTGATAATAATAATAACTACCTAGTAATTTCCACTGTTCGGTCTACTATCGTAGACCGGAATAACCGACCAATATTGAAACCGAATTTTATCCCAATTTTTGAGGATGCAAAATCAACATTAAACTAAGTCACTCCTTTCTAACGCCCAACAGCCCCGTTTTTAGGGGAGGAGCCTCGGGGAGGCGGACGGAAGAAGTCATTAGATGATTTTCCGTTCTCCGAGGCTCCATATCGGCAATTCGGTATCACCCTTATATGGGACCAACCACGAATACGTGGTGGTCTGATGACTCTTCAGAGGCGCGTGCGGAGCGCGACGCGCCATACGCTCGGGTAAATGAAAAGACATACGACTCCAAGAAGTCCCATAGTCAGCTCTTATGTTTGACCACCCGCTGGGACAGTAAGACTGGCCACAAAAGTGTTCTGTTCTGTCGTCATCGTGACACACGGTTTGATTCCCATGATGGAAATCCCTTAATGGACTCAAATCCAGCTGTGTTTAACGGTTCACGATAAAATAGTCAGAGAATAAATAATCAAAAATCATGTACACACGTTATCTATTTAAGGAAGTAGGATAAGTCAAACCATTAAAGTGAAGTGTTTGGCGGTTGGCCAGACGCCAATCGATGTTTGAGAAACGTACGTTGAACTTTTGTCTTACCGCCTGTCTGTACTCTGTATCAAACGCTGTAGGATTAGGGATGGCAGGTCGAAAACAAGAAAGAATTATGAAAAAATACCTACCTACATTAACTCTGAATTTGGTAGCAAATGGTGCCCAAAAATTTTGACTGTATGTAGCCCTTTTAAAGAGGAAGTAGCACAATATAAAACCAATTAAGAAAATTTAATTGGACTTCTAAGTTTTGTAAGTTAATTTTGTACTGAATATTGAAACTGAATTAGGTAACTACCTACTTACTAGTAGCCTTTCAACTTTTTCGCTTATCACTACAGGGGATCAGAAATTGGCAATGGTGCTCCATTGTACCCTGACAACCCTATGTTCAAGGTGTTTGTATGCAAAACACTTCAACCGGACACTGCAAGTTTGGCAGGCAATAAAAATGCGCTCAAAACTGCACTTAGAACATGTGCAAAATAAGCGGACAATAGTCTAACATCCATGGTCTGCAACTTGTAATTTTAGCTTCCTATACCACCAAATATAACCAACTACCGTTGGGTGGCCTCATAGTTAAAGGTACTGGATAAAATTGCAATTCATTCCGTGAATAAAAATTATATCATTAATATCGTAAACAATTTGCATATTGAGAATTAACTTATTATCATTTACTTCCTCTAAAAGCAGGATTTTAATAATAATATGGAACTAAAAGATTTTTTGGAGAGGCTTATGTCCAGCAGTGGACGAAAACAGGCTATTGATGTTGATGAAAAGATTTTTTTACATCTTTATTTCATGAGTAGGGCTTTTTTCCTAAAAGTTTTGTAACTGGTAACTATACCTAGATGTTCGCCGTTTTGCGGAAATAACCAAATCGGAGGCAACCCTATTAAAAAAGTCGATACGGCTAGCCTCTATAAAGTTTGGAGTTTATAACTTATACGTAACAAAAACGAATTAGTTAAGCCGAGAATTAAGTGATCTGCGAATTTTAGTACTAATTCAAGTTTTTTGCTAATAGACCTCACGTTTCTTTTTTTAAATTTGATGGACCGACTTTTGACCATTTATTAACAATTACCTTCTGCCAGCGGCTTCGTCCTCTTTCGTGGAAAAAAAATATGCCATAATTTACCCTTGTTCCTTTCATCCCGATCCCGAAATCGCAACAAATGAACATACCAACTATCGCATTTACAAAGTGTATGTAGGCCGTAGGGTTATTGTAATAGAAGTAAGTTTGGGCGTTCAGTAAAACATTCTTCGGCATCTAATCCGGTATGATGATCGACACCGATTGACCTAGTTATTTTAAGAACATATTACGCCATTAAACATTCTAAGGATTCTAAAGTCTAAAGCTAATCTTGGATAATAAAAAGTGCGTGTCGTCCTGTCCTGTCAACTTGTAACCTTCGTAATCACGCGCAATCTGTTAGAGTCAACTAAAGGGAATTGGGGTCACAGTCTTTAGACGAGAGCATGTAGGCGATGTACTGGAATACTTGCTTACTGTCTTTGACGTCCGCCATCTTAAACTGGTACATATTTCTATTTCATAAGCTTTCATTTTCGTATGCAAACTAAACGATTATTCATCTCACATCACCATGGGAGCTTGCTGAATCAAGGTGTGCGGATAACCATAAAGAAGACGAAAAGCTGAGTAAAG